GGGCTGAACACATGGCTCCCAGCCTCTCTGTGAATGCGTTCCCTCTTCTTGGAATGGAAAAGCACTTATATAGCAAAATGTTTGATAAGGACGCACATTAGAAACACGAATGCACACCGCACCACATCACAGTTAGGCACAAGATAATCAATCATCAATGCAATTCTCCATGCCCACGGCCTCCAAAGCGCTTGCCAGCGCAGCAGTGTGCTTCACTTTGTGCTCCTGTAGCAACCGGATGGTTGCAAGAAAACCCAAGAGCCCTTGTGTGAGCCCTGTATTATTTTGAGGTCATGCAGAATTGTCGCTTATTCTTGTGATGGTTAAACAAACTGGCAGTTTCAAAGTACCTCAAACCCATCGTCTGTACTGCAAAAATAACACGCGGAATTGAACTAAATCCTGCACAAGACCTGGCCAAACGATCGTCGGAATTGGGTCCTCCAAGTTCTGGCAGTGTTGTTCATCTTTCTCCTCACGAAGCTGCGCGGCGGAACTCAACAAGATCATGCCCAAGTCTGCTTGGCCCTTCATTGCATTTGTGGGATCTATATAAATTCATTGACTGACCGTGGCATGCAAAGCTGGTCTCACAGGGAATAGGTCTCCTTCAAGGCCCTTTCCAGCACGGCCTCATGATTTTGCTTTTGTTCCTCCACATGCGGGCCGAACACATGGCTCCAGCCTCTCTGTGAATGCGTTCCCTCCTTCTTGCAATGGAAAAGCACTACTTATATATATATATAAATGTTTGATAAGGACGCAAAGCAGAAGCACGAATGCACAACGCACCACATCACAGTTAGGCACAAGCTCATCAATCATCAATGCAGTTCTCCATGCACAGGGCCTCCAAAGCACCTTCCAACGCAGCAGTGTGCTTCAACTTGTGCTCCTGTAGCAACCGGATGGTTGCAAGAACACCCAAGAGCCCTTGTGTCAGCCCTGCGTTATCTTGAGGTCATGCAGAATTGTCTCTTCTTGTGATGGTAAAACAAATTGGCAGTTTCAAAGTACCTCAAACCCATTGTCCGTACTGCAAAACTAACACGCGGAACCTGACGACTCTCCACACAAGACCTGGCCAAACGATCGTCGGAATTGGGTCCTCCAAGTTCT